CCCCGTAACATTGCCCATAACATGTCACAGATACTGTCAAAATCCTACATTATGTAATAATTCATGCCGTGACGTGTCACTGGCACGCAATTTCGCAACCCTTCAATGTTGCGTGTAATTGACACATTAAATATTATATCACTTCCGTAATACTGAGGTTGGTGGAAATAAACTTTTTAATTCTGTCCCTTCTAAATAAAGATAAAAAAATAATTGGATATGAATAGAAATAATAACAAAAATTTTCATCTAAAACACAAAATATTAATTTAATATTGACATTTCCAACAAAGGTTGCCTGAAGAGATCACTCTGAGTCCTAAGGTGGCAACCATTGTTTTCTCATTGTAAACAGAATACTTTTATATTTCCAATGGTTTACTATTGTCTATAGGCAATAAAGTTACCTATCTATCCATCTAAAACAGCAAAATATTAATGTAAATATTGACATTTGATAACAAAATACCACGTTTAAGTGGTACTAAAAATCCATAGCTTTTTTTTTAAATGTATTTGCATGCTAATTAAATTAAAAAATAAGTCTCATATGGTATTTTTTTAATTTACTACTAAATTAGGTAGTTATTTAGAATTCGCATTTGTGAAATTTTCAGCTTTTTATAATATTAAAAAAATATATAATATAAAACTTGAATAAGAGGATAATTTTGCATTAATTAAGATACTATTGCCATTAGAATTTATTAAGCAGTATACATTTTTTCCTCATTCGAAAAATCTACCTTTATCTGTAGAATTACTCATACGCAGCCGACGCGCAAGTGCGCTTGCGTTGCGATGTCGTATCATCGCCTCTACTTTTCATGATCCAGCCGTACTCGATACGCGTTTCCAAACTGTGTATCGTTGCGGACTGAGTAGCAAGAAGTAATAAAGTTTGTGATTACGTGGCTGACAAAAAAATATAAAACCTCAGAGACAAACATATGTATTATGTTTAAGAGAAGATGTTGATATTTATCAGCCCCCCTAGACAAGTGGCAACCCATGAGTTGGAACAAGACATCCGACGTTGCTATCCCATTCTATCTATTTTTTTATACAACTTAGGGTGAAAAATGGTATAGTAACCCCGCCTGCGCTAACGGGATACGCTGGCGGAGCATCAGTGAAGGGTGATCGATGAGAATGAAAACAGGCCAGTTAGCCCATCATGATGAACTCATCAGAAATTAACCATGATAGTTTCCAGGGGGAACCGCGAGTAGGTCGACCTGGTTGGGTATATTGCTAGCAATGGGATTCTCAGTCTCCATTACTAACAATCCCTTTCCCCCCTAAGGGGTTTTACTAATAGTTGGTACGCTTGGCGGGCGGATTGACAATCGCAGTTAGGCTTTGGTGATGTTTAGAGGGACGCTGCTGTCCAACCCTCGATTATTAAGTTCCCTTAGTCGCCTCTTACGACTTCCACGGGAAAGGAAGGGATAACCCATTGTATGCCGGGACTACACTGCACTCTCTACTCAGAAATGGCAACGCATGGGGGGTATTATGGGCGAAACAGTATACTCTGTAATGTCCATGGTACTACCCATGTCTATAGGCGACGGTTACCACTTTCCATCAGGTGGGCCGTCAGCTTGTTTGCCATTCTAAGTCGTATAAAAAAAATACTAATTTTAAAGCCTAAATTCTAAAAATAGGCAAATATTTTAAATTTATTATCGAACCCAAACCAGTGAAGGGTGCACTACCTTAGTAAAATAAATGTCAGTCTGAGAACTACAAGTACGAAGGCAGGGCTTCGACCCGGTGCGTCACACAGGGCCTGGGGTGCCGCGGCGTCAGCGCGAGGGTGCGACGCGGCGACGTTGCGGCGACGAGCCGGCTGGCGCCGCTGCCTCGCTGCCCGGCTGCGCTGTCGCCTCACGCAGCTACGTTTGAGACACGAGACACCCCAACATTTTAAATTACACCCTTGATAGCTATCTGATATTTACGACACTGCATTGGTAATAACACACTAATTTTAAACGGAGTTTTAATTAGACTTATATTTTATATATATAAATTATATAGATAGAGCATCGAATCTCAAAAACGGTCAACTTTTTGTTAACTAATTGTCAAATTAACTGACTCGTTTTTTTGTCAGTGATCTATGTACTTACGCACACAATGTATCTTGATGTATCTATATTTAATTATTTAATAAGTAAAATTAGTTTTTACGCATTACAAAGACGTAAAAATTAAAAAACAAAATAAATATAAAAGTTATAAGGGTATTTCTCTGTAAGCTCGTACAGGTCCCATACAAATGCTGTCCTGACAATTATTTTTGCCATTTGCCAAAAAACCGTGTCGTATTTCGAAGAAAATTAACTACTATTTTAATTAGATAAGGAGGCCCACTGAATTTATACGTATTTTCCGAGTTATTAACGATTTTTCAAATCATGACAGGGGACTGTATGAGGTATCAGGGGACTGTTATAGGGCCATAGCTCACCCTCGTTCGATGCCACATGGAAGAGTATTGAAAATTGGTCGTAGATGTGTCCAAAGAGCAGCAGATGAATGGGCTATGTTCTCGGAGACTGTGCAACAAGAAAGAATGGAATTTCGTAGGTAAACCACTAAGGTATGCATCAATTGTGCTCGATATATATATCTCTTTTGCGTATTTAGTGCTATAATTCTCGCTAAAATCTACGTGGATCAGAACTTCATCATCTTGTAGATTTGACTTTAAATTATTCACTGTTTTATATTGGTGAACAATATTTCGGTGGTGATAAAAAATTTGTGTAAATCTGTCTGTAAATGTGTTATGATGGATGGATATCCAAATGTTTTTTTCAAATATTTAGTCACCAGTCGGTTCCATTTAGTCTTAAAATCTTGAATTTCAGATATCCACATTTTATATCCTTTCTGTCATCAATTTGTTTATATTTCGGGTTTTTATCAATGCGAGTATGACATGATCTCGCCAAACAATTAACATTATATCGGTCTCAACATAGATCTTTCAGCAACTTTTGGTGATTGTTGTAAGTCAATATGTTATTAGTATGAAGTGCGCTGAGCTTCATGTCTATGTTACTATGAACTATGCAAAGACATGTATCGTGGTTTTGAGCGTTTGGCTTCACAACCCAAAATGGATGGAGTCGGCAAAATTTTTGGTAGCTAATTTTTATGTGCCCAGTAATATTTTTATAAAGATTAAAAACTGTATCAAGAAGATATCTCTTCTGCTTCTTCACAGTATTTCTAGTCATAAAGTTGTAAATTGTACTTCACAAGTTTTTTTTTTTCTAAACGTGCGATTTATTTATTTATTTCTCTGTTAAACTTCTTTTGTTGTTCTAATACTTCTTTTCTTCTTTGCTGTAGACTAGTACTGGAAAGATATTTGAACTGGAACTAGAGTGGCGGGTCTTGTAGACAAAGTATCTGCTTCTGGATCTGATAACGGTGTATTTTCTCGTACAAAATTATTAGTGACGCTTTTCAGTCTTAGTTTTTTGGCTCGGTATACAGTTATTCATTCCACTTCTTTAAGGCAGCTCTGTACTCACAAGATGACCATTACTAATTTTCACAAACCTTTTTCTTTCTTCTTTTGGTACTTCAACTATTTCAGAATATTTTTTCTTCTTTTGTATCAGTTGCTCTGCTTCTCTATTTTTTATAGTAGTTCCCCTTGGGCATTTTTTTTTCTTTTTAGGAACAATATCATGTATGTTTGATCGACCTGTATAAAATAAGTTTATAAAGGAAAATAATGCAAAGCAATGATACTTAGCGGATAAATTTACACCAACAATATATAAAAACAATAACCAATATGCAAAATACACAGTCCCCTGTTGTTTAAAACAGTCCCCTGCTGCATTTTCAGGCTGGGGACTGTTGCCAGGGGACTGTGTATTTAGGTTAGATTTCACAATATTTACAAAACTGATGTAAAATAGTTTTTTAAGAACCTGCCTATCAATTTAGGCATAAATAATAAAACAATAAACTATATAAACCAGAGGACTGTGTGTGGTACCAGACCAAACGCGTATTCACCTTAAAATGAAGTTCTGACGCTAAACAAAATGGTGTCTCGTTGCCACTTTCGGCAAGGTTGCCAATTTAACAATAATTACGTAAAAAACTTTTATAAATATTACAGTTTCTTTTTAATATGGATTTAAATTTTTGGCAGGGGACTGTATGGAAATTCTAGGAACAAAGTTTACAAGTGTTTACTAATATAATAGAATTCGTAATGAGACCTTGTTTTACGAAAATAATATTAATTTTATATTTTTTCTTATTATGTTAACTGCCAAATGTATGTAGTTTCAATAACTTCTTCATAAATCTCGTTTCTAGGCGGGAATACAGTGATGGGGACAGCTAGGGGACTGTATTTTTAGAGCTTCAATCATTTCTAGAAAAAAAATTAAAATAGTTATGGTTCTAAAAACAATGGGCCCGTAAATTTTTGGGGTTAAAGTTTCATTAGAAATGATTTTTATGAAAGTAATTATACTACTTTTTGAAAAAAACAGTCGGGACAGCCGATTACGAGTTTACAGAGAATCACCCATAAAGGAATCACTCATAACTATTTATCACGCAAAATTGTATAAAAAAGTTGAGCCGTTTTTCTCGAAGCATTTCTATGGAGACACTCTGTCTATATAATCTAAGATAATATCTAAATTAGAAATCAAAAGAAACATCTAAAGTAATTGGGAATTTGATTCTGTTAATTGAAATTGATGTATAAATACAATATAAATACATATACTTCATTATGAAATTGATACAATGTGGTTTGTAGAATTGTGAAATGTACCTCAAATACTTATTCTTGCCAAATGCTCAGTTCAGATAGGTTCACAAGACTTAAAAAAATTCATTTGAAGGACTTTTTAATTAAAGTATCTAATTAAAATCTTTTTTAAGAGATTCAAAATAAATAATTCGAAATTCGAACACACGTCAACTGGACATTTCAAATCGACAGATCCGAGTTTACCATTACTTTATAATCTTAACAATACATTATTTTATTTAACAATCTATAGAGTTGCAATTTTTGAAGATTTTGTTTTAAGAAAATGCCTGATAATTCATTGAAAATACCACAAAACGAGTCCCCAATGGCCAGGGCGGGCGCTGGAGACATATCGAAGATAGAACTGAGCAGGGAACGAAATAACCTTCAGACTACACCGCCCACGTAAGTTTAAATTATTCCAGAAAATATATTACAGGGTTATGGCCCTGTCTACAAAAGCTGATAGGGTAGTATACCAGAGGGAGACTTTGTACAAAAGTCGATTGCTTGGGTACCTCTGTCCCATTCGTGTTTCAACCGTGGAGCAATTGTGTTTGCATGGCTATGTTTCGATTTGAACACATATTGTGCGGTTTCAAAGGAATTTTCTCCCGGAAATCAGGCTGTGAAATGAGCTTCCTGTCAAAGTTTTTTTTTTTATTTTAAATAGGTACACATTACAGAGAATTAACAATGTTATATTAATTATAATTTATACAATAATGGTTGGTTCAAGCTAACCCTCCATAAATATGCGTACACAGCATGATCAAATCATAAACATACAGCCAAATAAGTATGTAAACACAATATAATATTTTTCCTAAAGACTTACAGTATGTGGTTTTTTTTAATGAGTGATAATGGTATAGTAACCCCGTCTGCGCTATTGGTATACACTGGCGGGGCACCAGTGATAGATGACTGATTAAGATGAAAGTAGGTCAGTTAGCCTATCCTGACGAATTAAACTAGAATTAGTCACGATGGTTTTCAGGGGGAACCACGTGGAGGTCGACCTGACAGAGTACATTGCTAGTAATAGGGCTATTTGACCCCATTACTAGCAATCCCTTTTCCCCCTACAGTATGGGGTTCTATAAAAAGGTTGTATTAAGGTTTCATCAGAGTCGGTTATCCCCAAGTCGTGTTATCCTTAATGCTGCAGACGTTTGTAGGCTACAATGACCGTTTACAATCAGACGGGCTGTATGCTTGTTTGCTACCTTCGTGCTAGTTTTTTTTTATACAATTTAGAATGGCAAACAAGCTGACGGCCCACCTGATGGAAAGTGGTAACCGTCGCCAATAGACATGAGCAGTACCATGGACATAACAGAGTATACTGTTTCGCCCGTGATAACCCCTATGCGTTGCCATTCCTGAGGACTCAGGTCTTATTCCTGAATTTACAGGGTACAGACCCTGTAAATTCACGGCATATTCCACTCTTCAAGCCGAAATATAGCTCTGCAAACACAACTGCTTTTCGGTTGAAACACGAATGAGACAGAGGTACCCAAGCAAACGACTTTTGTACAAAGTCTCCCATCAAAGCTAGAAACATTTTAATAATAAGTATATAAAAAAGAAAATAGTTTGAATAGTTACAGCAGTATAATACTGTAATAGTGCAACCATCACAGACATGACCCATGGTGAGGTCATATTACATTACGAACTTTCATTTCCCTGTCCACGTGTTAAGCCGATATGTGGCGAGGCACCAGTGAGAGATGATAAGTCAAGTTGAAAGCAAGTCAGTTAGCCCATAGTGATGAATTCAACAAGAGATATTTACAATGGTTTCTAAGGGAAACCGCGTGGAAGTCGACCTGATAGGATATATTGCTAACAATGGAACTGTTAGACCCCATTGCTAGCAATCATTTTCCCTCCTTGTTTGTTAATTTGACAGCTTAATCAATCATATTTATGACTAACAATATATTCCCCTCACGACAATATGTTTATTACATTGCCACCTTAGACATATATATGCTGTAGTACATTCACTTATAGTATATATATTAGGTTATAATAAAAATGTACACAAGCAGACTTATCCCTTAAAGGGATTTCTTCCAGTCGATCTCGAGAACCAGAGAGGAGAAAGTGTCTAAAGTTTTGTATATATGGTAAAGCGTAACATATATGGTGGAAAAATAATACGATAAGTAATAAATTATTAGTAGCTATATAATTAATTATATATGTACACTAGCTGACCCCGTAAACGTTGTTTTACCACTTATTGCGAAATATAAAAATCGCGATTAAAATACACGGGTTGATCGTAAAACGATGAAAATTTAAAGTTGTGTGTATTTTTTTAAAGCTAAATCATAATAAAATAAAAATGAAAAAATTTGTCAAAAAAATAAAAAAAAATTTTGGGGAGGGTCACCTTTATCATTGAGGGGTATGAAAAATAGATGTTGGCCGATTCTCAGACCTACCCAATATGCACACAAAATTTCATAAAAATCGGTAAAGCCGTTTCGGAGGAGTTTGCTAACAAACACCGCGACACGAGAATTTTATATATAAGATATAACTATATGTATATATTTGCATATACATAAACATATATAAATATACGAATATATCTATAACCTTCCACATATATTATTACCATACAGGAGAGTCCAACCAGCTCATCCAAAGAAGCAAGTGTTCTCTACTCCAGTCAGCAAATTCACAGCCAAGTCGCACCTGCCCAGCCCTAATCTGGAGAGAATCAGGAGCTGTCTGGACGAATACAAAAGTCGGACGCCAGCGAGAGCTGTTAAAATCGGTCCCAAAGCAATTTCAATGGAGGATCTGACTCCTACTAAGAGAATAAAGACAGAAAGGTGATAAATATTTTTAAATTCCATCTATATACATTTCACATATAAATAATGAAAACGTAATGGACTCCATCAATCACACCGTGCCGAGTACAGTCATGAGGTTTTGTTGTGGTATAGTACATTACTGCAGCGGCCAGCGACTGACTCACGTATGTGTGCCTCGACTACGCCTCGGCCCACATTTGCACGTTCGTCCATCAATGCCTAGTTGTGGCCAAGGCTTATATAGTACTTTTCTCAAACAATGCGTGGAAATCAAAAACACAATTTTACTTTTTAAGTTCAATGACGAATAACGAACAATAATAATTTTTCACGCGCCATAATGTGCCTTTGTTTTTTTTTTTTCAATAAACAGCTTTCTATTTGCAAGCCAGTTCGAAATTTAAATAAAACCTTTTATTAGTTACCTCCTTGGTAGCCATGTTTCGAAGTAAAAGGTCATTCCATTTTTAAATTACAAGACAGATATGTTTACATAGTAATTTATCTGGCCGCAAAACACGACAGATATGGATTTTCATACAACTTTTGCCGATTGGATTTATCTCGAAGAAGATTGTCAATATAATGCTCACATTTCCAAGCATGTTTGAGAAATAATAAATTAATATGAACTTTTTTTATGCAATTTAAAATGTCAAACAAGCTAATAGCCCACCTGTTAGACTAAATTTTGGATTGGCTATTATTATATTATATTATTATAGTATAATCCATACTAAGAGAGTTTTCATTTTGAATCATCAGAAATCATTAAAATTGCACCAGTGGATATTACTTATTTTACAACAGCAACTAGTTTTCGTGCTTTAACGTAATTTAGTTACTTACATGAAACAAGGAAATTGATAACCCAAATTCAAAATTTCTTTATTTATTTAGATTTATTTTTATATATATATTCTTTATTGCACTTGTTAAGTTACATATAAAATAATCTATTTATAAATGTTGTGAGCAAGGGTGGACTTATCTCTGACAGAGATCTCTTCCAGTCAACCCAGTACAGTGAGAAAGCATGTTGTTAGCGGGCAGCTGAAGTGCTACACCTACTAATACATAAACAAATATACAGTTAAATAAAATATTAAAATATATAATAAAATATTATATAAATACATATAATACCTACCTACTTATATAATAAATGTTAAAATAAATGAATATACTACTTACATTAGAAATTTAATGATTTTAAGACATTATTTATTTATTAAACACAAAAAATGTACAAGATGGGTAGGTACATTGGCACTAAGCGAACCTGTAGCGCGTGAGTCCATGAGGGACCAAGACACGGTATTTCACATATATAGATTAGTGAGCCATTTTTACAGAAACAAACATGATAGATGGACATCTTGAATAATATAAAAGTGCTTCGTAATATAAAATAGGTACCATTTCAATCTAAGAATGGTTACCGTTTCTTCTTTCCTTGATCAAACTATGGATACAAATCTTTTGTTGACAGAATCGATAAACACTTGCCAGCCCTGATGTCACCGGGTTTACATACCATGACGGAGGTCCGTGCTGCAGGCAAAATTGGAAAATTCCTAATGCTTAGCGCATGGAGGCGCAGACGGGAAGAGGTGCGATGTCTCCGGAAGACACTAGAGTTCCAGGTATGATTATGAGAGACAAGGTATATTCACGATATAGAATCTGTATACAACTACTTGGTTTTAATCTCGGTCTAGTAATTAGATGTTAATTATACCCATGAATGTGAATGTGAAAAAGACTCTATTTTCTGCGCTTAGCCTCTCATTTGGGCCGTTGTGCGTATGAGTCGTGGCTAGTACAGCCAACCTAGCAGAACCCAGGAATCTTCTGCCCAGAAGCGCAGAAGCTTCCTGGGTTCTTCACAGGCCTCACGGGGCGACCTCACCGTGTCGAGGATTTGTAAACGTTGATGGGTCACAGCCTCACATTTCAGGATTACGTGAGCAGCCGTTTCTTCGGCGTCGAAACAGCCTCGACATAGAGGGCTGTCTGTGGCTCCTATTGTATATAAATGTTTGTTTAATGGACAATGACCCGTTATTGTCCCTATCATTATTTTGAGGTTTTTTCTATCTAGATGTAATAAACGTTTTGATAGTCGTTGATTCAACGTAGGTACGGCCAATTTTGATTGTCTGCAATCAGTAGCCTGTATCCATCTTTGGTTTTGTATGTCAGCGGATCTTTGACGAATGTATATTCGAAATTGCGAGAACAGAAGAGGAAGAAGTGGATACGGGCCACTCTCGTTCCTGAGCCTCTTCTAGCTAGTTCGTCTGCGGCATCGTTATATTATATCCATAATTACTAGGAACTACTAGCTGGCCCGACAGATGTTGTCCTGTCTACTAGGAACTACTAGCTGGCCCGACAGATGTTGTCCTGTCAAAATGCGCTAAGTTAAAATAGTCATTGCTTTCTGTAATTTTCTAAATTATCTACACAAGTTTTTTTAATTTTTCTCTCCGTCAGAATCTTCTACGAAGTATTAAAAAAATATAAAAGATGAATGAAATCGGGTTAAGTCGTTCTCAAGACGTGACCAAGGGAAATTACCAGAGAAGAAATTACAGAGACTTTGTACAAAAGTCGATTGCTTGGGTACCTCTGTCACATTCATGTTTCTACCGTGAAGCAGCTGTGTTTGCATGGCTGTGTTTCGATTTGAAGGGTGGGATATGGCGTGAATTTACCGGGTACAGAGGAATAACACGAGTCCTCAGGAATGGCAACACATGGGGGGTATCATGGGCGAAACAGTACACTCTGTTATGTCCATGGTACTGCTCATGTCTATAGGCGAGGGTTTTCACTTTCCATCAGGTGGGCCGTCAGCTTGTTTGCCATTCTAAGTTGTATAAAAAAATAAATAAAAAAAAAATTATGTTATTTATTAATTTGAAAGATTTTTTTGAACAAGGCAACTATAGTCCATGAATGTGATTAATCGATATAGCTTATGTTTTGCGAGTTTGCAGAATGAAAGAACATATCACGTCACAGGAAATACCGCTATGTTACAATACTTTCAATAGTTTCGAATATATAAAATCTTTATCCAACAGAAGTGTCACTAAAACTAGCTCTCTACTAGGTGTCATGCTCGGAACGTCTTCGCATACAAGTGTCTACTCTCAAGTCCTTACTTGATTCGGACAATGCGAAGGTTCGACTAGCTATGAAAGAGCTTGAGCGGTTGAAGCAACGGATCAGGGAGAAAGATTTGGAAAAGGCGGTCTTAGAAAGGGTAAATCTTATTACTTATGGACTTTTTTTTATTGGATGATAATGGAATGGCAACCCCGCCTGTGCTAATGGTATACGCTGGCGGAGCACCAGTGAGGGATGATAGGTGAGAATGAAAAGACAGGTCAGTTAGCCCATCGTGATGAATACACTTGGAATTCAACACGATGATTTCCAGGGGCAACCACGTGGATGTCGACGTGTTAGAGTATATTGTTAACAATGGGATCGGTAATTCGCATTACTAACAATCCTTCCCCCCCCCCCTTATTTAGATTATTAAGTACACAATACTGGTTCGCACTATATGTTTTCCTAGATTGACAAGTATAATGGTAAATGATTTTGACGCAATTTGGAAGTATTTATAATGATTTTGTTACACCTTATCTTCTCCGCTCTACATTTATTTTATTCCCTTTTTTGATTAATCTAGTCACTGCCAATAATTTGCATTAAATTCTATCAATAATGTTTTTGTTTCAACAGGAGAAAACCGCATTAGAAAATGATGTGTGCGTCGCACAGGACCAAGCATCGGAGATGAGCATCGGTAAGTTAGATGTAAATGTCGTGTAGATGGTGGTGACAATTGACTGATATATTATTATTTTATTATTCCAGCCGTTAACTGTCCACTACTGGACAAGCCTTCCCCATAAGTAGAGTTTTGCTAGTAATTGCCACGCTTGGCAAGCGGGATGAAAGGACGAGAGTCGAACAGCAGCGTCCCTCTTAAAACATCTCTAAAGCCTAACTGCGGTTGCTAACCTGCCTGCCAATCCTGGCAACTATTGGCCAACCCTCCCTTATGGGGGAGACCTATGTTCAGTAGTGGACAGTTAACGGCTGATATGACAATAATGCTACTTGATTTTCCTTTTATTTGTCCCAATTACTAGTTCTTTCCTGAATTTAACTTGAAGAAAAAAAAGTTACCTTAAGTGCCGCTATTACTTGCTATGTACTAGGTTGGCGAAACTGCCGCAACGAGCTAGAGGGGGCGCTGGCGGCGGCGGCGGCGGCTGAGCACGCGCTAGTCCTCGAGCGGGCCGCCGCCGCCTCCGCGCGCGCGCAGCGGGATCACGCGTACAACAGGGTACCCACTCCACTACTATACTACACTACGCATACTCCAGGCTTCAGGGGAGAGGGAATTGCTAGTAATTAGATCTAGCAGACCCTATTGCTAGCAATATACTCTCTTAGATCAAACTCCATGGGAGCCCATGGAAACTATCATGTTTATTTCACCACAATGGCCAATTGACCTAACCTCGTTTTCACCTATCATTAATTATTGGGTCACGCTAGCTAGCGTATACCGACAGTCCAAGTGGGATTACCATTCATTTCCCATCCCATTAAAAAAGGCCTGACTTTATTATTACGCGGCCGCCGCAAAATGGCAAGCATATAATGATAAAAGTAATAACCGTCACCTATAGATATGAACAGCAGTGTGATGCCCACAGAAACCAACGCCGGGGCGAATTCTTGTCCACAGCGTTACCATTCTTCATACGTTACGATTTCTGGGGGCTAAATTGATATGCCTTCGTTCACTGCAGTTTTATTGCTTTACTCCACTTTTCGTCAATTTGTCATTTGACAACAGAAACAAAATTGAGGGTGACAGAAATACCTATACTTATAAATGACTTATCACAGAGAATCTACCTCGTACCTTCAACTTCCTAATCCTGTAAACTATACAGGTTACTTTAGTTCGAAGGATCATTTGGGTACCTCTGTCCTATTCGTGTTTCAACCGTAAAGCAGTTGTGTTTACATGGCTATGTTTCAGTTTGAAGGGTTGGATATGGCGTGAATTTACTGGGTACAGAGAAATAACACCTGAGTCCTCAGGAATGGCAACGCATGGAGGGTATCATGGGCGAAACAGTATACTCTGTTATGTTCATGGTACTGCTCATGTCTATAGGCGACGGTTACCACTTTCCATCAGGTGGGCCGTCAGCTTGTTTGCCATTCTAAGTTGTATTAAAAAATAAAAAAAAATTACATCATTTCCAATGAATTACAAAACCTGATATATGTTATATGTTTACCTGACTTCTTGTTTTGAAATCTGTTGGTTCCCTAACTAGCAATATACACTCTGTCAAGATAACGTCCACGCTGTCCTGCCTGGAAACCACCGTGGTTAATTCTAGGAGAATTCTTCACGACGGCTAACTGATCTGTCTTTATTCATACTTATCAATCTTCTCGCACGGATAACCTGACAGCGTATACAATATATCATAGACGACATCCTAACCTTCAACAAAAGAGCATATTCCTTTTTACAAGGCCGGCAGCACACTTGCAATGCCGTTGGTGTTACGGGTGATCACGGGCGGCGGTTGCGGCTTACCTGATGGCACTTACTATTAGGTAAGTCGCAAGATCATTTGCCCCTTGTGTTTAAAAAAAAATACAGTAAAACCTTGATTTACGCGAACCCGGAGATAGTCATTTTGATTCTTTGAACGCCAGACAACTCTAGACTCCTCCCATACTATTGCCAAGTTAATGCGCATATTTGAACGTGTCTTACGAAGTAAATCCATAGCAAGCAATTCGCCCCAATACGAGGTAATGTATTACTGTAGAAATAGCATTTTCATTCTATTAAAATACCTATTCTGTTTTTACAAAGCAGTACTTAAAGCCAGTTATATGGTATGTACAGTTATCGACGCTAGAAGACGAGGTGATGCAATACGAAGCGCTGCTGTCGTCCGCCGAACAAGAGGCGGCTGCGCTGAGACGCGACGTGGACGAGAAGCAGCGCGCCCTGCAACACACCAACGAGCAGCTGCGGCTGGAGCAACAGTAAGTACGACCATCTTATAGTAAATTTAGCAATGTGACAGTGAGTTTGTTTTTTATCTCTTGGGGTCCTAACGGCTTGAGGAATCGCCATGAAATTTGGTACATGGATAATTTTTTTCCCCGGTCAGAGAACATATTCCGGTCACGAGTATAAAGTCGCAGGTTTTTATAAAACGCAAATTCACAACTTTTATCCGCCTCATTTGTGATTGACTACAAGCAGATTGCTCGACTTCCAATCCAAATGAAGAATGCAAGCGCAACCAGCTTAATATAGGGCGAAAGGGATTGTTAGCAATGGAGGTAGACAGCCCCATTGCTAGCAATATGCCTTATTAGATCTCGCGGGCACATACCGATGAGTGCCGGAATAGACTTGTGTCTGAAATCGAAACTTCACTCCATCAAGTTTCGATCTGGGGTGAACAAAATCTTGTCCAATTTAACCCCAAAAAGACACAAGTCTGCGCGTTTACCGCAAAAAAGACGCCGTTTGTCGTATCTCCTCAATTTCAGGGCACTTTCCTTGATAAAAAGTCGAGTCTAGGAATTCTGGGCGTTGATATATCTTGCGACGTCCAGTTTTGCGGTCATCTGGAAGGAGAAGGCTAAGATAGCTTCCAAAAAGTTAGGAGTGCTCAATAGGATGAGACGATATTTCATGCCAGAACACCGCCTGAAATTATATAAAGCCCAAGTCAGGCCGCATATGGAATCCTGTTCTCACCTGTGGGCAGGAGCGCCACAGTACCAACTCCTTCCGTTAGACCGCATTCAAAGTCGGGCGGCTCGAATTATCGATAGTCAACGCCTTACTGTCCGACTTGACCCACTGAAACTGCACAGAGATGTTGCATCTCTGTGCATCTTCTACCGAATTTATCATGGGGCGTGTTCTGAGGAATTGTTCGGATTGATACCTGCTGCTGATTTTCACCACCGTACAACCCGCCACAAACTAAAGTTTCATCCCCATCATCTGGACGAGTGGCGGTCTTCCACCGTGCGTTTTTCAAGGCACTTTCTTCCACGCACAACCATTCTTTGGAATCAACTTCCAGCAGCAGTATTTCCGAACCGATACGACAACATAACCTTTAAGAAAAGAGTATATTCCTTTTTAAAAGGCCGGCAGCACACCTGCAATGCCGTTGGTGTTGTGGGTGATCATGGGCGGCGGTAGTCACTTACCATCAGGTGAGCCGCATGCTCGTTTGCCCCCTGTGTTGTAAAAAAAAAAAAATAGATCGACTTCCACGTGGTTCCCCCTGGAAACCATCGTGAACAATTCTTGTTGAATTCGTCACGATGGGTCAACTGACCTGCTTCATCCTCACCTATCATCCTTCACTGGTGCCCCGCCAGCGTATCCCGATAGCGCAGGCGGGGTTGCCATTCCATTATCATCCATTAAAAAAAACCAGCTTAATAGTAATTTTAGATCAGGCAAAGTAGATTTAATAAATAGAATGATAAGATTGAGTAACAATTAAATAGGTGTTCATTTTTCATTTTCATTTAAGAGTTTCCTCTTGTCGGTGCAACTAATTCATGCATCTTCCTCCAGCCAGCTCTATCCCAGGCCATATCCTTTATCTCCCTATACGACATGACGCCTAGTGTTTCCTTTATCTCTCCCATGTAGTTAATCCTCGGTCTCCCTCTTCCTCTTTTGCCCTCTATCTTTCCTTCTATTATGCTCTTAAAAAAATCGTCATATCGTATAAGGTGGCCCAGCGTTTTGCCACTTCTATTCTTTATTATTTTAATCAATGTTCTCTTCTCGTGTACTTTTTTTAGGACTTCCTCGTTCGTTAGTTTTTTCTGTCCAGCTTATCTAGATATCTAAATAGGTGTAAGTAAAGCTAATTTGAAAGTTTGTTGGTTTAATTCAATTCGTGTTTTATTAAATAGTAATGCACTCGTATGCAGGGCGCTGGAGCGCAGTTGTGCCGAGTGCGCGGCGCTGGGCGAGGTGGCGTGCGGCGCGGCGCGGCACACGGCGGCGCTGCGCCGCGAGCTGGCGCGCCGCGCCGCCGACCTCGCCGCCGCCAGGGAACAGCTCGACTGCTGGCCGCGCCCGCTCACCAGGTACCAGCCTTCACTTTTATTAGCTCTCCACGTGCGCTGGCCAAATACCAGGGAGTGATGACAGGTGAGGATGAAACCGGCTCAGTTGTCTCATCGTCATCATCATCTCAGCCTATACACTGTTGAACTCAGGACCTCCATGGATTGACATAAGGATCGGTTCGGAGCCATCTGCATCCACTGCCTCCCTGCAATGCATTTGAGGTCATCACCTCATCTTGTGAAGAGTCGGCCTATACTGTGTTTGCCCGTACAAGGTAGCCACTCAAGAATCTTTCTTCCCCATCGATTGTCAGTTCCTCGAACTTAGGGGGAAAAGGTATTGTTAGTAATTAGGTTAAATAGCCCCATTACTAGCAATATACCCTGTCAGATCGACCTCCACGTAGTTCTCCCTGAAAACCATCGTGATTTATTCTAGTTGAATTCATCAGGATGGGCTAACTGGTCTGCTTTCAAACTCATCTGTCATCCCTCACTGTTGCCCCGCCAGTGTATCCCGAAGGCGCAGACGGGGTTACCATTCCATTATCACCCATTAAAAAAAATGTAAAGTGCCAGTAGCAGCTAGGGTAAGGGTTTGATTGCACTTTTTGATGTTGTGTGCGCAGATTGATGGGCGCAGCGCGGCGCTGGTGGCGACAGCCGCTTTCGCTGTACGAGGCCGTGCTGTGGTCGCTGGTGCCGGCCAGGCACGGCTGTTGAAAGCCTAACCTCTCATACACTGACCAGCATATACCTACTATTTAGTCATTTAAACACAACCCGTCATCGAGGACTTCATAGAAGGACTTACGTTTTGTTTTTGATTAATCTTTTTTTTTTAATTCTATTCACAAAAACTAAATGCTCTTTTGTATATGATTATATTGAGATATTTTCTGCAACATATTATATACATGGCAGTGAATTTACAGGGTACAGAGGAATAACACCCGAGTCCTCAGCAATGTCAACGCATGGGGGGTATCATGGGCGAAACAGTATACTCTGTTATGTCCATGGTGCTGCTCATGTCTATAGGCGACGGTTACCACTTTCCATCAGGTGGACCGTCAGCTTGTTTGCCGTTCTAATTTGCAATAAAAAAAACAATTCCTCGTGTTCGTACATACTTGGTTATGAACTAAAATATTTTGAATTTTTTTAAAATTTGAATTATACTACCATGAACAATCAAATCTACTATATCTTGACGACCTGTAAACTGATAATATCGATAAATAGTTTTAAAGTTACAGATACTTCCAAATTGATCCCTTATTTTATTGTGAAGAGACATTAAGTCCCCGATCTTGACGGCACGCATAACTGTACCTACCTATACGTACACATTTGTCTATGGTCCTTTATTCGTATAATATCATAGACAAATACGTATGTCTATGATTCACTTGTTAATTGGTGAGTATTTTATAATTATCATGTCTAATATTTAGAATAATTGTATTTAATAGGTATTTTTTTGCGGAATTTATATAGGTGTATTGGATCGTTTAAGCTGTCTTTGTTCGTTAGGTGCTTTACTTAAATACAGATAATTTTAAACATTGTAGTGAGTTTTATTTTTTTAAACTATTTTTTTTATTAGTTTGCAGGGAAGGGATTAATAATGTGGACTATTTGTGCCATTCAGGTTGACCTCCACGTGGTTCCCCCTGGAAACCATCGTGCTGAATTCTAGGTGTATTCATCACGACGAACCAACTGACCTCTTCATTCTCAACTGTCATCCTTCACTGGAGCCCCGCTATTGGGGTTACCATAATATTTTTACCAATTAAAAAAACATTAGTAAGGATTACATAGAAAGAAGCATTGCTTTTAAGAGACAAGGGTTGCAGTGCAAACTGGCATTTGCTCTACCCAGCATTCTGGAATACAAAGCAAACCATACCCTGATAGGTACGGTATAAATATGTGAAGGGGCATAGTCGTAGCCAGTTCGAAACAAGACGAGATAAAAAAACTTTGTTTTACAAAAATCCTGTCATATAAACAAGCGGCGTTAACTGTCCGACAGTACTCGACTGCGGTCCACAGATCCCAAGATCGATTTCTAGCTTAAACTACAAAATTTCAGCTCCGTCGTTATTCATGTTTAGATTATACCAAATTTTCACTTACTTTGTAATTCGGAGGACACGTAACGATAACATCCGGTATGATTCCTCGCCGCCGCCTTTTCAATACACCAGAGGCATAGACTTAGTATAATGTACTTAATACTTCATGATCTAAGGCCAAAGGCCTTTGTATATAACAAAGGCGGTTTGGAAACTCGATGACACTAGAGGGCGACACCTTAACATAGCTGTAGTAATTTTAACTACAGGGTACAGAGGCATAACACCTTAGCTCGGGGGGAAAGGGATTGTTAGTAATGGAGTTTGACAGCCCCATTGCTAGCAATATGCCTTATTAGGTCGACCTCCACGTGGTTCCCCCTGGAAACCATCGTAAACAATTCTTATGGAATTCGTCACGATGGGCTAACTGACCTGCTTCATCCTCACCTATCATCCTTCACTGGTGTCCCGCCGGTGTATACCGATAGCGCGGGTGGGGGTTACTATTCCATTATCATCCATTAAAAAAAAACACCTTAGCTCTTGGGGGGTATTATGGATGACACAGTATACTATGTTATGTCCATGGTACTACTCACGTCTATAAGCTATTTTCTACCAGATGGGCCGTCAGCGTCAGCTTGTTTGCCATTCTAAGTTGCATAAAAAAATAACTATATATTATACGCAATCTTCACTATTATCACACAAGCAACTGCGGAAGATAGGCCTCCGCATTGGAGGGTTTTACCAGTATGTGCCATGCTTGGCAAGCGGGCTAAGATGGACGCTGCTGTTCATCCCTCGATTAACTCCCTTAGTCGCCTCTTACGACACCAAGAAGGTGGACCATTCTACGGCAAGACTACTTTATAACATTATAAGCAATATTTATAAAAAAAAATCAACAGTGCCCTAATCATCATAAAACCAATTACAAAAGTCGTTTGCTTGGGCACCTCTGTCACATTCGTGTTTCTACCGTGAAGCAGTTGTGTTTGCATGGCTGTGTTTCGGTTTGAAGGGTGGGATATGGCGTGAATTTACTGGGTACAGAGGAATAACACCTGAGTCCTCAGGAATGGCAACGCATGGAGGGTATCATGGGCGAAACAGTATATTCTGTTATGTCCATGCTACTGCTCATGTCTATAGGCGACGGTTACCACTTTCCATCAGGTGGGCCGTCAGCTTGTTTGCCATTCTATGTTGTATAAAAAATGACAATAAACAAACGTGTGATCAATCATTTATTTCAGTCTTACATTTCTAATCAACAAATAATATTAACTACAAAATATTCACATTTGTTAGTTAACTCGGCCGCTGGCAGGCCGTTCGTTTATTTAAATTAATTATTCGATAACAATAAACATAGTTTTAAAGTAATTAAGCGCATCGTACAATGACTAGAGTGAACATTCTTTGTAAAGTACAATTTAATTAGGTATACTTTCTAATTACGTTTACACTAAGTAATTAAAGGTATATTACATATAATATTATATATAAGATGGACTGACAAACATTGCAATTTCAATCTTGAATTCTTGCTGTCGAAATAAACAAAAGATTGCACTCAGCAATAAGACCGGCTCACTGTACTTATACAACTGTATCGTTATATTTGTTAATTGTCTTGCTTATTTCCTATATTGTATAATGCAAATAAAGTGTATTCATTCATTCATACATTCTAATAATGATTATTTTCAATAAATGATTTTTGAACTCAATTTTATGACAATGTCACGATATCACATGCGAAGCTCGTGTCTATATAGATAAATTTAAAATTGCATTCCATAAAAAACAAACTTCAATTATGAAAAAAAAAAAACAACTATTTTGAATTAAAAACTAAACTTCTGAACGAACTTTGATAAAATTTCTATGGTAATCTGTAAGTTGCAGATAAAAAAAAATCAAATCGGTTTATAACTAATAGAGTTATTTAGTAATTAATATAAACTTACAACCGAATTAAGAAGCTTCTTAATTTTGAAGTCAATCCAAATAAATATAATTTTTTACACAAAAATCCTTCAAGCTTTGTCCTGAGCTTTGTTTAAAGCCATTTTGAACCTACCGTTCTTTACATTTGGAACACCTATAAAACAAAAAACATAGCTTAAAAAATAAGTATATTTTAAAAATCGTTATTAAAAAAAAAACAGATAATTCGCGAACAACGCTTTTTTTTAATTATTAATAAATAGAAATGTAAAGGATATTATTGTGCTATTTTAGAAAAACAGATATATTGAATTAACAAGGGAATTTACAAATTAGTTTTTAATTCAAATACTTTTAACGAATTCGCCAGATTTTTCGAATATCTTTTTTTTTCTTTCATTACAATATTATTTATGGTAACGATATCAAGAATTCAAGATGGAAACTATCAGTGCGTTACATTTCTGTTCTCACTCAAGTTATATTTAATCGCAAATTATTTCGGTGGTGCTTCAATTTCCTATCTACATACGGTCTTGGACCCCAGAGACCTTCAACTCTGTTCAAATTTATGTACACATGAATTTAATCTAATAAACCTTTTATAATTAATAATTTAATTAAATTTATGGCCCCACCGCGTTTTAAATGCATTAATAATGTGGGACACGAGTTAATTTAAATATATTGGGTCTAAAGATATTATATTAACCGAATATTAACTTAAATGTATGTAATTTAACGATTATACGTCTTATTATGAAATAATGGTTTGCAAATTCCGAGTCCAATACTAAACTCGAAAAAAATATAAGATAGAATTCAAATAAAAGTAGTAGATCTGTAAGGATTTTTTTTTTATACCACTAAGGTAGCAAATGAGAGTACAGCCAGTCTAATGGTAGACGGTCAGTTTAGCCTATTGACTGTGATATTCAACTATTGATTACCACAGTCGCCTTAAAGCCAGAACACTGTGCACAAGAGTATTGTTAGACCTAGTACATAAATATTTACAATAATAATTCATATTTCAAATATTTCAACGGGGAAATGTGGTAATTTGTTTATTTACAGAATTTATATATATATTTATATAGTTACATACAAATAAATAACTAATTTAATGAATCCGCTATAATAGTCATTCTAATGAACCAGAAAAAATTTAAGTAATTCCAATGAACAACAAACAACCAGAAAACACAACTGAATTTAGAACCTCCTTTTTTTTAACTTGGTTGAAAATATTTCATAGATGCTTGTAATGAGTTTTTAAGATTCATTTGAAAAACAACAATTTATAACTTACTACAAATGCTTACATAACTAAACAAGAAATATATATATATATATATATATATATATATATATATATATATATGTACAGTAATTAATATATAATTATTTTTACGCATTTATAATTATTATTCTTTTGACAATATGCTCAACTTGTCGATATAAATTACATTAGGATAACCAGAGGGTGACTTTTTACAAAAGTCGTTTTGCTTGGGCACCTCTGTCCCATTCGTGTTTCTACCGTGAAGCAGTTGTGTTTGCATGGCTGTGTTTCGGTTTGAAGGGTGGGATATGGCAGTGAATTTACAGGATATAGAGGAATAACACATTAGTCCTCAAGATAGCAACGCATGTAGGGTATCATGGGCGAAACAGTATACTCGGTTATATCCATGGTACTGCTCATTTCTATATGCGACGGTTACCACTTTCCATCAGGTGGGCCGTCAGCTTGTTTGCCATTCTAAGTTGAATAAAAAAAATCATTAAGTGCGCCTGCAACACCGAATTCTGACTATGTTTATTCTGAATATGTTCTATTTTGGCTATTAGGACTTGACCATAGTCTAGTAACTGAGAAATCATCATTCAGCCTTTATCTATCCACTGTTGGATCTAGGCCTTCCCTAATGCCTTTCAACATGTCGATTCTACACTTTTCACATTGGGAACCACACATTATTGGATCTTTTTATTGGGGATTTTAAGCCCATAAGTAAACCTGGGCAAGCAGGTTGTTGAGTGGCATTTTTTAAACAATAGGTAATGAATATTGCTTTTAGTACCGGACTTCTCATACAATTTTTGTATTTATATAAAATATTTTATGTTATTTTTGTTTTTTTTTTTCACATTACGTCTAAAAAGTATTCAATGTACAAAAACAGGTAAATTAATTAATAGAAAAATGACCTCATACACGATCTTTTTGACAGATGCATTAAAATCAAAATGGCGGCCGTTGTGTAAATACAAAATGAATTTATTTGCTGATAACTGAAACGCATATATCGACTGTTACCGTTGTGGTGGTAAATAATATGGACAGTACATATATGTTATTAGATTTATTAAATTTATATTAATATTTACATGGACAAGTGGAGCACTCGTTTGCGATATACAGACAACCGCAGGCGCTCGCAAGGATGGACGACGCGTTGTTACCACTCAATATTATTGTCATACGCTTTCAATTCCATACCCGCGATGGACTCACCTTGGCAGGATTATGACTTATTCATAAAGTTATATTACAACACATTGAAATCGTTTCAACTTGAACGCATAACATATGGCTTGACTTCCTTTTATATGTAGCTATGTCTACATACATATTTATTTTTCATGTATAAAACAAATTCAACTTTATTTTGTGAGAAAATAAAATCCATCAGAAGAATTTGCCAGAGGCCGCAAATGGTATAGTTACGCCACTGGAATAAATATTGTAAAAAAAAGAAAAATAGGTGTTCTCTACCAGTCAACTATCGGATATACAGAGAAATAGTCAGAAATAATGTCATTTTAATCACATAAGCCATATTCTTTATATACATAGTAATATAAAACAGCTGTTATAGTATACTGCAGAAACATTAGGGTATTTACCCATCATGATTAACCAATCGATTGATTGGTCTGGACATGTCCAGACTCTTTGTGCTCTTTCCTTAATTTGTAGTTTTTTTTTTTTTCATATTAATAAGAAATAAAGTGGACATATGACTCAATGCCATCTATATGTAATTTATACTTTAACGATATTTTTTTTTTCATAAATATTTTACCGATTTCTCACACGCCGATACCCGTACATACATTTTTGTACAAATAAATACATTGCAAAACATCTAGACCAGGGTTACTCAAACTCATTTTGTCTACTGCCCACTTTGAGAATAAATTATTTTTTAGCGCCCCCATTTTTTCACCTACTTAAAAACCATTATTGCTTCTAGATCAACCCCAATTCATATTACCGCCATTTTTTTTTCTTGGTCTCTTACCGTCGCCTTTTAGGCCTGCAGCGCCCACAAGGGGGCGTTATCACCTACTTTGGGAAAGGCTAATCTAGACCGATACATCGTTCTCATAAATACAAATATGCGTATGGGAATCGAATCCGCTTCCATCGTAAGCTGAAGCGGTGTATTAAACTACTACATCGTTCAGATCGGTCAAAATTGTGTCTGGATTTTAATTGGACAGAGACACTCTGAGTGCATTGCTCGCATCCGAGTACCTAACTTCAGGCTGCAGCTGAAAATCAGTGTTTTGCTTTTAAGCAAAACTTTAAACTGAGCTGTAGCCTATTTGGGTCACTGCTACACACATGGCGAAAACATATTTTTGTAGTTTATCTTTTGTTTTTTTTTCTTTTAATTATGTTATTTGATTGTATGAAGTTAGCTGTAAATTTACATGTGTCATTGATGACTCAAAAGTGTTTATCTGTATGTCTAATAAAATGTTGAATGTGTGAAACTGGTTCGATATTTATCGTCACAATTCGTGAAAGAGTCTGTACTCTTCTTGTATAAGTTTTTAATAAACATTGCATTGATAGTCTCTTTTAGTACCTAAGGTTGATAACAGAAGGCGCTGTCAAAAAGTTAGACGGCGCTATTGTTTTATTTGTCACGTATGCTAGGTGAGTCTGTTATAATTAAAAAGAAAATTGTATGCAACGACCTAACATCAGTGGTTTGTTTTATTTCGACACCAGAGGGCGCTCGTCCATAGTTTAGTGATGGTTGTATGTACACTTTTTCTGTCAGATATACTTTTTTAATAATATAAACTCACTGTCTTCGTGTAACTTATACATACTTGCCTACTATTTAATTACATAACATACTTATTAAAATATTATTAAATAGCGTATCAAAATAAAAGATACACCAGTTTAGAAGTTAGACCTTCAGGAATATAAATGTGGAAATAGCATCCAATTAGATGCAGTAATTTATGCGCGATAACCGGAACAAACATACAGACAGACAGACAAATTCTAAAAATAATTGTATTGACTTCTGTTGTCCTTGCAAATATCTCTCATACACTGTTTTTTTTAAATATCTCCTACTTACTTTGTTTAGTTACATTTTTACTAGTAAGACTTTGTGACTATAAAATCGAGTCTATTCTGTTCGAATTTCTATAACGATTTCAAATTTTGAAAACCGTTCTTTCTGAATATTTTATTGCGAAGACAATGCATTAATAAATCTTATTATTTAATTCAAAATTTACGATTTTACATTGTTAAAACTAGTTGCTCCATGACATTAATTATTTAACATCGACAGTTTCAGATAACCATTGTTTAGAATAATATTTTCATACCTTAATATATCTACGTCTCAAATAAATTAAAATATAAAAATAATAATCATTAAAAATATAAAAATAAATGCATTAATTGCTCCCTAAATTAATTGAGATCAGTAAAAAAAAAAAGTTGGAAATGAGTATTAAGAGGCAATAATTAGTCAGTTTTCGACTACCAACTATACCAGGACTATTAGTGAAGGGGGTAAGGGATTGTTAGTAATGCGGACTACCAGTCCCATTGCTAGCAATATACCCTGTCAGGTCAACATCCACGGAGTCTCCCCTGGAAACCATCGTGCTGAATTCCAGGTGTATTCATCACGATGACCTGCCTTTTCATTCTCACCTATCATCCGTATCCATACACCGTTAGCGCAGGCGAGGTTACCATTCAATTATCATCCATTTAAAAAATAAAAATGTACCATTAGTACAAGTAAACCCTTAAAATAACACTTATATTTTGTCTACCCTCAAAGCTCCAAAACAAAAGGGCCATAACAATACTTATCATTTATAAGTTTTAAATAATGAATGCTATAAAGCTCGCCCTTAAAACTGCTTTCCTTTAGTGTGATTGGACTTAAGTTGAGTACAGAAACACTGAGACAAAATGTATCAAAATTAATATGAAATAATCAATCATTTCGGAATTCGAGACAATCATTCTAGACTAGGAGTGGTCACTTTCATAATATTTATTGGTTTTGTTATTGATTTTTTTTTAGATTTTCTTTAGTTTCCGTGGATTTATTGGAATTCAACATTCTCTCTACTGAACTGTAAACTATAATACTTTCATCAGACCCTGGAATTGCGCTCCATATGCCAACCAAGGACTGGTCCGGCAACCAGCATGACAGAGCTCTTTAGTTGGCTGTTGTCAATTTATCCGCGCCTTGCTATACTATTTTTCATTTATATCAAAGTGTTTTTTTTATAAACTGTGTTAAATATTTGTATAGTTTGCACAATAAATTACTATTAGTGATTTATTGTTCAGATTGAATCTATTTAAATCAACCTTTGAATCCTAAATAACAAATCAATCATCATTTTTACCATTTTACAACAGTCATCCACGTGTCTATACACGCAGTGCATTTTGCATTCTTTTGTATTGTAAGACGCTGCAAAACAGAGATTTTTTTATTATTTTTAAAAAATATATTATCGTCACGCCGTTACCGACTTCTCGATAATTTAAATCTATCGGTATTTTTTTAGAAAACATATCGGAAACGTTATACGGAACAGTGCTACCATTATTAAACTAATAAATATCGATTCGATATTTATTAACGCATTTAGATTAAATTTCAAATGTATTTTACACCTGACGTTTCTTGTAAACAAGGTAACGATGATTTTAAAATGTTTAAGGTCAGAATGTGTATTACTGGGAGTACATCCTCTCTCTATATCAGCACTTGGAGACACCTCGCATTCAAATAACACATTTAACGACATGTGTAAGTCTAAAAACAGATACGCATCCTTCATCAACCTTTCATGTCCAAGCGGACCGATCGAGTACCTTCGTAGCTTCCATCATGTAGGGGCCGGATTCAGCAGCAGCTCAGATCATGCCGAAGCCCTCGCCGCCCTCGTTGATGGCCCAGAGCAGCGCGTGCACGAGCTGGTCGTAGGAGTCGTAGTCGGGCAGGCACAGCTGGTTGAAGCACGTGTGGGCCGTCGGCAGCGCACCGAACGTCGGCGCCGCCGTGATCTGGAACCGCGGGTTCAGCTCCTGGAAATTATCGGTGCTCGTATCAATTTATATAACGTACTCTCACTGACTGCGAGTAGCTAGGAAAAACTTAAGATGTTGTTCCACTAAGGGAAATTCTCCTTTCGTTATTAGCTTCAGTCCTGACAAAATACCTATGGAATGTATTTAAGAATAAAATCTTTTCCGTTACAATCACCCTTAACATTCACACTAAGGGAACAGTTTAAATCGAGAATCTCTTTGTGATGCGGATTGAAGTTTTTAAAATTAATACCTATCTCGAGAAGCAGAGATAAAGTAGATAGGTTGAAAGGTGGGACAGGCACCTGGAAGCCGCCAGGCGGCAGCTGCGAGCAGCCGGTGGTGAACTGCAGCAGGCGCGCGCGCTCGGCGGGCGTGAAGGCGTTGAGCGCGGCCCAGAACCACGCCAGCAGGCGCTGCCAGTCGCGGCCGCCGCCCGCCAGCAGCGCGTGGGCCCGCCAGTCCCCGACGGCCAGCTCGCCCGTACCGCACACGAGCAGCTCGAGCTCGTTCTCGTCGAAGATGGCCAGCAGGTGGTCGGGCACGAGCAACGTCAGGCCGCGCAGGAACGCGTCCGTCTCGAGCCGGCAGCGGCCCGCCAGCCGCCACTGCGCCAGCGCGTCCACGTACTGCAGCTTCGTTGCGTTGTTCACCTGCCGTCACCGGCCACCCGCCCGGTTACATCGTTATGCTACTATTACAATGTAATACAAAATGTGCAGTGGAAACGAATGTGATACCGGTGGAAAATCTGCGTTCATACAGAGCTAGGAATAAAGGGCGACAATGAGACTTGTTCGATAAAACAATAATTGAAGCTAGTTATACAAAAAAAATATATATTTGGAATATCCACAAAAGATGACTTATCTAAAAATATTTAATTTCAATTATCTTCAAATTCTGTCACGACGATCTAGATCCAGTTTCTCCTGGAGTCCATCCTTGTTAATTCCTGATGACTTCATCACAATGGGCCAATTGATTTGATCTACCATCATTCATTGGTACCGCGCGTTATAAAAACAAAAAAGACTTTAAAGAAGGCAATTAGCAAAAATAGGCGTTACCCGTATGGAAGCGCCGTTGGGCACGAGGTCGTGCGTGTAAAGCAGGCGGCCGGTGTGGTCGTACTCCTCCTCGGCCCAGTACAGCTCCGCCGCATCCGGCGCGTCCAGGTCCGTCTCGAGCACGTACTTGATCTTCGACAGGTACAGCTCCGGGTCGTCCTGCTCGAAGTACTGCGGACAGACGGCCAATCGTTAGGACTTACACTGCATACTTAAAGCAATCGGCAGACTAAAATCTTCATGTCATGAGGAGTGGCAACACGCCAGTGATACCCATCACAAGTGTTCATAAAGTGCAGTGCCCGTTTTGGTGCCGTTTTCGGTGTCACCTCGCGTCCCCGACCATTCTCGGAGATGACGATCGCTTAGTGACTTCACCACTGAGTGAGAGCAAGGCAAGCGTAGGAGCGGATACCTTGTAGTGGACGCGCAGGCCGATGATCTGCGCGAGGAAGGAGCGCGTGAGGCGCGCGCGCACGAGCTGGCGGTAGCTGCCGCCCAGCGCGCTCTCGTACAGGCACTTGCCCACCAGCTTGCCCGCCAGCTCGAAGTACTTCAGCTGCCGGCGCCGCGCACCAACCCCGAAACGTAACAATCACTTCTTATACATTTCAACTAAAGCACCGGCGTCAATATCCGACATTTGTCAGTAACCGATTTACCAATATTGACTGAACGGAACCGAACTCACGGATATTTAAGCACAAAATTAGTTTAGAATACCTTGAGATGCGGTGGCCGGTGAGGGTTGGGATGCACGAGGCCCGTGGGTGAGTCGTTGAAAGAGACAAAGAGGCCGAAGCGGGAATCGAACAGCTGTCCGCACACCAGCGAGAACCATTCGCGTCGCACCCCGCCCCAGTCCACGCCTGCAACCGATCACACCGCAGCTCACTACACCAGCAAAATACAACACAGCACTTGACCCGCACATCAGCGAAAATGATCGGCAAGGCTACCATCAACATTGTGCTCTAAAGAACTTTTCAATATGATGAATACAGCCACTTTTCACCATCGCACCAATCGCCAATGGCAGGGAATCCCTTCTGACATCTTAGAACCAAAATGGCCGTACAATGTGGTTTCAAGGAAGCTTCCTCCCGCAAACTATCAGTTTGTCTGCCGAAACTTTTCTTAAAGACTACATCATGGGGTTCTTCAAAAAGAGTGTAATAGGGTTTCTTAAGGATCGTCAACGCACGCGTGATATTCTTGGTGTTACAGGCATCCTTGTGCTACAGGAACTCAGTTTCCCACCAGACGGGTTGTATGCTTGTTTTCCACCAAAATAGTATAAAAAAGGCATAATTAGCAACAAGTTAATCTATCAATAGCATAGATAAAGACATACGTGTAATATATAGTTATAGGCATATGAAACTACGACAATAAATAACATATTACAAAGTTTTGGTCCTTCGAGTCGGGTCTACATAGATTTAATCGTTTTATCATTTTTGAAATGTTTTGGTCCGCGGACGGGGAACAGTGGCAGGCGGCACGCACCCTGCTCGCCCTGGAAGGAGACGTCGAAGCTCTTGCACCAGTCGGCGAGCGAGAAGTGGCGCGTGGCCTTGAGGCTGGAGCGCAGCAGGTCGGCGCGCGCCACGCGCAGCGCCACCTTGTCGTGCGCGTGCCGCGCGTGCGCCTTGCGCACCTCGCTGTAGAAGAACTCCTGCTTGTTCTGCGACACACCACCGCACCCCGCGTTAACGACCCCTCACATACTAACAGTATAAACCAAACGTACCTAGTTCTATTTAGTTTGTGTACATATGTGCGGAAGCCGTGTAATTCCCGACATAGAATAGATCATCCCTTTTTTACCCTTAGGTGCCGTAAGAGGCAACTAAAGCAGCAGCTACTGGAAAAAACCTCCGATTTTCCGCTATCCCACCTTATCTTCTTATAACTGATCCGAACCGAATTTTTCCGACATATGGCATGGTATAAGATTTTTCGCCTCAAATTGTTGTGAAATGCTGCCACCTTTTCGATTATGGCCACTTTGTCGCGAGGATTCAATGCATTATTGCTACACATAAACTAAATAAAACTACATACAGGGGCTTTATACTATAAAAGCATTGTTTGTTCTACTTTAAGTAAAATCACGAAGGCTACATAATTTTCAGAAATATCAGTGAATTCAGTTTATTTTTTTAAATATAAAGAAAAACGAAATATTCATTGTACTTGATTTAAAATTCAAACCTGTAGTGATAAAACTATACACAAGTACCATAATGTCAATATAGATAATATTCGTGAAGACTGCATGTGATATAAGTACCTTGAAGGTATCTTCACCACCGCAGTTGGCAATGAGTAATTGTGTGAAGGTGGCGGCAATGAGATCTCGCTCAGGTGACACCATCTCCAGCGGAGGCTGTATTCCGTCGTCCAACGTGAACTCCCCACCGGGACCTGAACCCTCAGGTGTTGGGGCTAGTATGAGCTAGATTAAAAGGTATAACACAAAGTTACTTTTATCCATTTACATCATCACCCAAAACTGAATTTTGAAATTCAAGTAGATGATGCTTTTATTTACAAATCGTCATGATTTTCGACTTTATTCATACAGGCTGTCAAAATCAAAAAGCTTATAAAATTTTATCTAATATTTATTTATTTATTCATTAGAAAATATGTGTACGTCACGATTCTCTCCCAGACTTTATTCATATAATTAGATATACAATCAAAAAAATATATAAACGCTAAATATATATAAATAACAAATTATATATATGACATAATATTAATCGATAAAAATAAAAAGTGTGCGTTAACGCTTTTTTTGAAAGACAGTCGGTAGTCTCTTAATGGCATCAGGAAGCGCGTTCCACCTTCGTACTGGGACAGAGTCGAAACGACGTGATCCTCTTGGGTATGAACTTAAGTATATAGTCCTTGACAATGAACTGTTTTGGACTGATGCAGCAGAGTACCCGACGCGGTTTGCCGCCACTCAGTAGGCGCGCCTCGTAGCAAATGTTGTGTCGCTTCGATGAAATGTTGCGTTGCACCGTTGCAGTGTCGCTCGCTGTAAACATCAACAAACACGCAGACAATCTTTAAAATTCAATTAGACATTATCAAACCTAATTTGAAATGTTTTATCACGTTAGGAACGTTTGAAAATCTTCATCAACCATTGAACGGTGGACAGGTATAAAATGTTCAGAATAATAAAGGCTAATTTGATGCAAACAGAAAAGCCCAGCAAATTAAGTTTCTCTTATGCGCTAATGGTCATGTTACCATTTGGTTTTCGTAAGGTACAACTTCCAGAGAGATGACAAACAAGCCACTCGCTAATTCGGATCGATAAATCAAAGGATCTGGCAATGATTAAAATTACTTTTCCTGAGCTCCGCTGCTTCGATACTCAGTTCTTTTACTGTGTGTATCGTTTCGTTTCCGCCTCGCATTAGAAACACCAAGATTCTTGTTGATACGAACCGTGGCCCTATGCCTTGTATGCAGTTTGTTGAATTAATCTGACTTCCCTGCAAAACCGATTAAACAATGATCTTGATAAGTAGGTTGGAGATGAAACATTGCATGCCTTCCAGCCAACCAGTATTGCTTTAGTAACAGTGGTTATATAGAATGTACATCTTCTAATGCAAAGCAGAGCTACTTCAATGGGTTTACGTAAAAATTCAGCAATTTAATTTTTTCATTTACTTTGAGATTAAGGTACTATATTACTGCACGTTTGTCTGCGAGTACGAGACAGTACGATTCTCCGCTGCAGAGTTGCAAGCTTACCTGTAAGCACGATGCAGTCGAACTCCCCGTTGAGTAGCAGCCCGCCATCGTAGTAGACGGCGGCGCGGAAGATGCCCGCGCGCGGGAACGTCAGCGTCATCGTCACGCGCTGGTTCACCGCGTCGTACACGAACGTCGCCGAGGACGACAGCTCCTTGTCCACCTCACCGCCCACCGGTGTAATCGCGATCGAGAAGCCCTGCACGCACAACACAAGCGGTCGCTACTACGCCGGACGGTCGGCGAGAGCGACGAACAAAACGGCAGATCAGGCCGGGCGCTCACCTCCTGGCCGGAAGCGTCGAGCGGCGCGGGGTTGTCATAGATATCGCGCGGCTGCACGTGCAGCGCGCGCGCGTGGCCCGCCGCCCACACCAGCGCCGCCAGCGGCCGCGCCACGCGAGACGCGCGTGCGCACACGCCGCCCGCGCAGAACGAGCGCCGGTACGGGCTGCCGCACGTCGGCACGCCGCCTGCACACACTCCGCACTGCACACCACACACTCCGCACACCACACACCACACACTACACACTACACACTACACACCAGCGCCGCCAGCGGCCGCGCCACGCGAGACGCGCGTGCGCACACGCCGCCCGCGCAGAACGAGCGCCGGTACGGGCTGCCGCACGTCGGCACGCCGCCTGCACACACTCCGCACTGCACACCACACACTCCGCACACCACACACCACACACTACACACTACACACTACACACCAGCGCCGCCAGCGGCCGCGCCACGCGAGACGCGCGTGCGCACACGCCGCCCGCGCAGAACGAGCGCCGGTACGGGCTGCCGCACGTCGGCACGCCGCCTGCACACACTCCGCACTGCACACCACACACTCCGCACACCACACACTACACACTACACACTACACACCAGCGCCGCCAGCGGCCGCGCCACGCGAGACGCGCGTGCGCACACGCCGCCCGCGCAGAACGAGCGCCGGTACGGGCTGCCGCACGTCGGCACGCCGCCTGCACACACTCCGCACTGCACACCACACACTCCGCACACCACACACCACACACTACACACTACACACTACACACCAGCGCCGCCAGCGGCCGCGCCACGCGAGACGCGCGTGCGCACACGCCGCCCGCGCAGAACGAGCGCCGGTACGGGCTGCCGCACGTCGGCACGCCGCCTGCACACACTCCGCACTGCACACCACACACTCCGCACACCACACACTACACACTACACACTACACACTACACACCAGCGCCGCCAGCGGCCGCGCCACGCGAGACGCGCGTGCGCACACGCCGCCCGCGCAGAACGAGCGCCGGTACGGGCTGCCGCACGTCGGCACGCCGCCTGCACACACTCCGCACTGCACACCACACACTCCGCACACCACACACCACACACTACACACTACACACTACACACTACACACCAGCGCCGCCAGCGGCCGCGCCACGCGAGACGCGCGTGCGCACACGCCGCCCGCGCAGAACGAGCGCCGGTACGGGCTGCCGCACGTCGGCACGCCGCCTGCACACACTCCGCACTGCACACCACACACTCCGCACACCACACACCACACACTACACACTACACACTACACACCAGCGCCGCCAGCGGCCGCGCCACGCGAGACGCGCGTGCGCACACGCCGCCCGCGCAGAACGAGCGCCGGTACGGGCTGCCGCACGTCGGCACGCCGCCTGCACACACTCCGCACTGCACACCACACACTCCGCACACCACACACTACACACTACACACTACACACCAGCGCCGCCAGCGGCCGCGCCACGCGAGACGCGCGTGCGCACACGCCGCCCGCGCAGAACGAGCGCCGGTACGGGCTGCCGCACGTCGGCACGCCGCCTGCACACACTCCGCACTGCACACCACACACTCCGCACACCACACACCACACACTACACACTACACACTACACACCAGCGCCGCCAGCGGCCGCGCCACGCGAGACGCGCGTGCGCACACGCCGCCCGCGCAGAACGAGCGCCGGTACGGACTGCCGCACGTCGGCACGCCGCCTGCACACACTCCGCACTGCACACCACACACTCCGCACACCACACACCACACACTACACACTACACACTACACACCAGCGCCGCCAGCGGCCGCGCCACGCGAGACGCGCGTGCGCACACGCCGCCCGCGCAGAACGAGCGCCGGTACGGGCTGCCGCACGTCGGCACGCCGCCTGCACACACTCCGCACTGCACACCACACACTCCGCACACCACACACTACACACTACACACTACACACCCACCAGCGCCGCCAGCGGCCGCGCCACGCGAGACGCGCGTGCGCACACGCCGCCCGCGCAGAACGAGCGCCGGTACGGGCTGCCGCACGTCGGCACGCCGCCTGCACACACTCCGCACTGCACACCACACACTCCGCACACCACACACCACACACTACACACTACACACCAGCGCCGCCAGCGGCCGCGCCACGCGAGACGCGCGTGCGCACACGCCGCCCGCGCAGAACGAGCGCCGGTACGGGCTGCCGCACGTCGGCACGCCGCCTGCACACACTCCGCACTGCACACCACACACTCCGCACACCACACACCACACACCACACACTACACACTACACACTACACACCAGCGCTGCCAGCGGCCGCGCCACGCGAGACGCGCGTGCGCACACGCCGCCCGCGCAGAACGAGCGCCGGTACGGGCTGCCGCACGTCGGCACGCCGCCTGCACACACTCCGCACTGCACACCACACACTCCGCACACCATACACCACACACTACACACTACACACCAGCGGCCGCGCGCAACGAATACCGGTATAGGCCGCTGCCAGTCGGCACATCACCATGCACACTTCGCACACTACATACAACCGCCAGCGGCTGCGCACAACGAAAGCCGAAACGCCACCTGCATACACTCCGCACTTCCCACAACATACTTCACACGCAGCACACCACACGCTATACTACACACCAGCGCGCCATGTGAACCAAATGAAGTAACCTTCTCTACCTCAGCTACTTCGCTGAATCAAATATACATACAATTTGGAAACAATCTGATGGAAAATGGTAACCATTGCCTACTGAATCGAGTCGATTTTTGTATAGCATTCCCATATATCGTAAAGTCACAATTCCAACACACAGTAAGGTTACTGCAACCCTTACACTGACAAACCCAAATTCTGAACCAATTTTGACAATTCACTTTTGATAAAATTTACTCCCGTATTAATGTTATGAAATTAAAGTTGCTATTTTTAATTTTTGTTGGGAATTTAAATTTACGTGTAAAAAAAACGTAATTCAGCGTGTAGCGTGTAGTGTTTCCAAAAATTTACAATATTTGAAATAACGTAATAACATGACAATTTGTTTCTTTGTACACCACATTCACACAACACTACACACACAAATAATACACACTTTTACATTAATTTTTGCTGAACCTTCAGTGATGCGACATTTCAAATAAGTATCTTCACAGATTTTATTTTTATATTTTTTTTCTATTTAATTTAACCTACCCTCCAAAAAGCATAATATTGTCTGGTATACAAATTGGGAATCTGTTATTAACTAATGTATGGCGTAAATATATAATATTTTTGTATTTTATTCTAGATACAAGCTGTTAATTCCAAATGTAATATTAAAATAAAAAATAAATAAATAAACTTTAAACTTACCAATTGTAACGGAAATAGTATATACACCGGCGGTACGAACTGTGAACTTGACACGGGCCGTGTTCGCTTGCGCCGGATCATCGGACCCCAGCTCCATCACCGCTGTTATCTTACAAAATAAATTACAGATATTTTCATATGCTTGTAATAAAAATCACTATATCAGAATAAAACAACGATACATCAAAATAAAACATTAACAAAGCAGAATAAAACTTCAATAAATAAATTAAAATAAAACAGAAAAAAGATACTAAAACAATCAGTCCTGCCCGCGATCAATCACATACTAATTATATATGTATAATTTCGTATGTTGATAATATTCCTAAAGCAATGAGAATAAAACATCAATAAATAGAATAAAATGTTTATAAAACATCAATAAATAAATATAAAACGTCACTACAAGTTATCTTACTTTCCTAGTCCCGTGCGTTATCGACACGGCGAGATCGTCAGTATCACAGATCGGGTACGGTTGTCCGTTCCGTTGGAAACACAGCACTGTGAAGCACATGGTTTCTCCCACTTGCTGGGGCTCCTCCCATCCCCACTCCACCTGCGTACCATTAATTACATCACAACCACATAAGCATACTAACCATAATTTGACAAATGACAAAAGGATTTAACGATAGATACGTGTTCGTTAAAGTTTACATATAATCAAGTTATAGGATATCGCTATCTTGTTCTATCTCACATATGATTTAAGAACAACATATTTTTTGATAGATTCGTTTACTATTTGTCTAAAAAAGCAATAGGTTTAAATTAAATTTATATTAAGAAATCAGTATCACGCATAATAAAATTAAAAACTAGAGTCCGAGAGGAACGATACAATGCAGGATGCATAAGCGAGATAGATACTGCATCGTTCTGCCTCATTTATATTATATTCCAACCTAAACTTACTTGCAAAATCCTCATGTACGAAATCTCAAGCAAATTCTAGTTTGTAACAAAAGTCAAATGTCCAGTCAGACAGTTTAATATGAATCTTATTTCAAGATTAACATATGAAAGTACAGCAATACCTCATAATTAAATGATAGGTAGGACTGAACCGTAACAGCGTAAATCGAATTCGCGTAAGTCGGGATATAATCTTTAACGCCTTTTTGTAAGCTCCTGGCTCCTAGTTATGCATCCATTTTACGGTACACCCTTGGATATGCAAATTATCTTAACAATAATCTAGATTTGTGTAGCGTTCCAATAATAAAATCGACAAGATTTGAAAACCGCGTAATTCCGGGTTTGCGTAATTCGGGGTAGCGTAAGTCGAGGTATTACTGTACTTTTAAATAATTACTCGGAAATATTGAAATGTGTACAATTTTCTGAAGATTTCTTTAGAACTACGACATTCTTACATTTTGATACGAACGCTCCAAGATAACAGCTGAGGCTCACCTTACAGCTGGGAGCGTACAAGTACTTCCCAGTGACGTACTGCAGCAGCGAGTGCTTGGCCTCCGGCGCGAGCGAGGGCTGCGTCATGGCCGCCAGGGTGACCAGCCCGCACACAGATACCGACACCACCAGCATGCCCCCTGCATGTTATGCCCCTTATGACATCATGCTACACATTGTCTCTCTACCTTAACGTCCATAATCCGGATAAACCGGAAGATTAAAAAAATACTTTTAGAGCTAAATTTTTATTTATATTATTATAGGTGAAAGACATTTAACCAGAATGGTCACGTACAGTGCGGTTTTACAGGAGCTTCCTCCCACGAACACTAAGATTGGGAAATAATTATCCTGCCGAGGCTTTCTTTAGAGCCTAGCCGACTTATTTGGCATTCTCTTTGCCTCTAACTCAACTATGGACGAAGGTAATTCTGTACCACCTACCATCTTGTGTTGCGGAAGCTCCATGCCGGAAATTACTATAACACAATGTAAAGTCCGGCGGGAGTTACTATCCTTAGATGTTCATAAGTCGAGTGGGCCAGACGGTATACCGGCAGTGGTCCTAAAGCAGTGTGCTCCGGAATTGTGTCCTGTACTAACGCGTCTCTTCACGATCTCGTACTCCACAGGGCAATTTCCTTCGACATGGAAGACCACCCTTGTACATCCTGTACCTAAAAAGGGCGATAAGTGGGACCCTTCAAATTACAGACCGATTGCGATCGCTTCCCTTCTCTCTAAGGTGATGGAGCGTATAGTTAACGCACAGCTGTTAAAATACCTAGAGGATCACGATTTATTGAGTGACCGCCAATATGGCTTTCGCCATAGTCGCTCAACTGGTGACCTCTTGGTATATCTTACGCACCAATGGGCATCAGCCATTGAGAGTCAAGGTGAGGCGCTCGCTGTCGGTCTTGATATTGCAAAGGCATTTGACCGGGTCTGGCATCGGGGTCTTCTATCGAAATTGCCCTACTATGGACTTCCCGACAGCCTCTGTAAATGGGTCGCCAGTTTTTTATCCGGCAGACATATAAAAACCGTTGTAGATGGTTGCTGCTCCGATAGCATGGATATTAACGCTGGCGTCCCGCAGGGCTCTGTGCTGTCCCCAACGCTGTTTCTACTGCATATTAATGATATGTTAACCTTCGGTAGCATTCATTGTTATGCGGATGACAGCACCGGGGATGCCCTTTATACGGGTCGTACCAATGTCTCCCGTTCCATCGTGGAGAACAATCGTGAACAGCTTGTGTCTGAAATCGAGAGAACACTAACTGGAGTCTCTGATTGGGGACGACAAAACTTGGTCCAATTTAACCCTCTAAGACACAAGCTTGCGCGTTCACCGCTAAGAAAACCCCATTTGCTGTGGCCCCACAGTTCCAAGGCACGTCTCTTAACATCTCTAAAAGCATTGGGATCCTTGGTGTCGACATCTCTAGTGACGTACAGTTCCGTAGCCACCTCGAAGATAAGGTGAAGCTGGCATCCAAAAAACTCGGTGTGCTCAATAGAGCGAAGCATTACTTCACGCCGGATCAACGATTAATGCTTTACAAATCGCAAATCCGGCCCCAAATGGAGTATTGCTGTCACTTATGGGCGGGAGCACCTAGATACCAGCTTGAACCCTTCGACTCAGTGCAACGACGAGCTATGAGAATTGTCGATGATCCCATGCTTGCAAGCGGTATTGAACCCTTAAGTCTTAGGAGAGATTTTGCCTCACTCTGCGTGTTCTACCGCTTATACAACGGATTGTGCTCAGAGGAATTATTCAATATGATGCCTACGGCCACTTTCTATCATCGTACGGCTCGCCATCGACAGGGAGTTCACCCTCATACCTTACAGCCTAAATGGTCGCGTACAACGCGGTTTCAGAGATGCTTTCTCCCACGAACACTCAGGTTATGGAATGAGCTCCCTGCCGAGGTTTTCCCGAGAGACTACAGCATGGGGTTCTTCAAAAGAGGGGTAAAGAGGTTTCTTCAGGGTCGGCAACGCGCGCGTAATACCTCTGGTATTGCAGGCGTTCATAGGCTACGGTAACCGCTTACCATCAGGTGGGCCGTATGCTTGTTTGCCACCACAGTGGTATAAAAAAAAAAAAGCCTACAGGATGGAGTTCTTCAAAAAGGACATATTAAAGTTTCTTAAGGGTCGCGTGATATTCCTGGTATTACAGACGTCCATAGGACATCCTTGGTTACCATTAGACGGATCGTATGCTTATTTGTCACCATAGTTTGAGGTTTCTATTTATATCGGTATCTGCAAATATACCTAATGAATATAGGTGCGGGGGGTGCCATCGTGAACAATTCTTGTTGAATTCGTCACAATGGACTAACTGACCTACTTCATCCTCACCTATCATCCTTCACTGGTGCCCCGCCGGTGTATACCGATAGCGCGGGTGGGGATACCATTCCATTATCATCCATTAAAAAAATCAATATAGATGCAAAATTGTATTAATTTTAGAATAAAAGAAGGAATTTTTACTGTCATTGAAACACCTTTATTGTGAAAATAGTTTTGATTTATATCTAATTAAAGATACTTGAGAAAAAAATATAAGATGTTTAACAGTCCCACATTGGGAAATGGAACAAAAACAAAATGTGGGCAACAACTAAAAAATGTCTTGGAAGACACGAAGCAATTAACCAGTTTTAATATTTTTAAAACTGGAGCTTTAGCATGAAATGAAATTTCAAATTTTCGGACTCAATTTCGTGTTTTTGTTCATACCGAAATGGGTCAAGTAAATTGAGATTAACATTTCGCTCGTCCTAAATCCTATTATAAAAGTCCAAAGGAACGATATTTTAACATTTTTTAATAGTTTTAAAACGGTATGTTATTTAATTCTAAAATAAAATTTGTGTTTCTTTCGGCTCCGAAATTTCGGAAAACATTTCATAGTAGATCTTCTGGTCATCAGATTGCGTTACTGAATATAAACATAAACACAGTCGAAATAGTAACACTTTTAATAGATTTTAGTGAATTAAGAATTATAAAGAGAAAAACAGATAGTGGTAAAAAATTGAATAAAAAGATGGTGGACTGTTGGGCGTTTCAATATTATTATCAGCCACTCGCTAATGACCTTAAAATATAGTATCTAGTAAGTATCGTACTGTACGAACTGTAATTTGACATATTTAATTAAATATTTAATTAATTAAATAGTACTCAGTATGGTCCCAGTATAAATTAAGCCACTCCTTCAATTGCCGTGGATGTAGTTAGAAGCGACTAAGAGAGAGCGAGGGATTGGCAGTAACTTCCCACTTAAAACATGTCTAAAATTTAAGTGCGGTTGTCAAACCGCCTGCCAAGCGTAGCAACTACTGGCAAAACTCCTCAAGGAGGAGATCTATGTTCAGTAGAGGACGGTTAAGGGCTGATATAATGATAATGATTAAATTGTACTTATCTGGTATACCTTTTTGGAATAACATGTCAATATATTACAATTTAGAAAGTTGAGAAACAATGTCGTTGACTCTGCGCGTTGCAGCATGAATTATCCTTACAACTTCAATACACCATGCAGTATGTACCGCAAAATTATTTAAAATCCTGATCTAAGCAGTACCTAGTAGTAGTAAATGACCTAGTATACAGGTGAATTTGAAATCGATAGCATACTTTTAAGGTAGACTTCTACCAGCCAAACTGAACATTTTCCGTAAAGAAACATGGATCGTAAACCGTTTTATGTACAATTAATGACTTAGCTTCTATTCAACATTGTAAAAGGTCGCTTTCTTTTAAAAAATCAATCTTAAAAGCATCGTTAATACCAATTTAATATCCAAAAACAGAATGAATAATAGCTTTAAATGAGATGTGAAATAATGTACCTTAATCCAATACTCACCCCATGTCCACGCGTCCTGATGTTTGCTGTTTTTCACCACAGTGCTCCAGAGATCCGATTTGAGGGTTTGCAACGCCTCCTTTCCTGTGGGCAAGCTCTGCCGCGCTGCCGACCACGCCCCGAAGTCTTTGGGATCCAGCACGTGTCTCGTGGTCGAGTCTTCGAGCCAGTACACATCTTCGAGAGATGACACGTCCAGACTAAGTAATCTAAAACAGAAACGAGCATTTATGTATACTCGAAACAGTATACTCTGTTATGTCCATGGCACTGCTCATGTCTATAGACAACGGTTTATCACTTTCCATCAGGTGGGCCGTCAGCTTGTTTGCCATTCAAAGTTGCATAAAAAACTGTAGTTCTACGCTCATTTCATTATCAAGCAATAGGAAAACTTTTTTAATAGACCAAGATGGAATGGTTCATCCGTCTGTGCTGGTGTATGATGGTAAACACCAGTGGAAGATAAAACGATGACGACAAAGTTAGATAAGTTGGCTCATCCAGGCGAGTTCACTAGAAATTAACCACAATTCAATTGACACACTGTAATTTCAGAGGAAATAAAATTTAAATAAGTAGAATGGTGACAGAGTAAGAATATTATAATGCATCAACGTGATAAATAGGAGCTTTATCCTCAGACTCAAAATTAGCTAAATTGCAGAATAAATCATAGTAACACCATAATGTAAAGAAGTCTTTTTATACTCTATAATACTGTTTCGAGTAAATATAACAGTACAAACTAAAAGAACGGGGGAAGAGTACTGTTAATAATAGAGACTAGCAATCCCATTGCTACTTTTTTTTTATACCACGAAGGTGACCAACAAGTGTTGCAGCCCCTAAGAAAATGGTATTGACGCTTGCAACACTAGGTCGGTCACGAGCGCGTTGCAGACCCTAAAGAAACCTTAATATACCCTTTTTGAAGAACCCCATACTGTAATTTCCAGGGAAAACCTCGGCAAGGAGCTCATTCCACATCCTGAGCGATCGCGTGGGAAAATTTGTATGAAACCGCACTGTACGTGGCCACATAGTTAATTTTAGGTATTATTGTTTAAAAGTGCTAAATCTCTCTAGGTGTCAAGTAAAAAGATCCGAACTTGAAGCACTATGAATCCAAAGACGGACTACGAAGACTTTCATTAGGTAATTAGACATATGAGACAATCAAGACTAAGTCTAGTATTACAGCTAAGTTTAAATTAAGCACGTTTATAGTTAACGTAGCCCCGAGCCACAACTCTATCCTAACTACTTCAATTACATTACATATAAGCACAAACTTAATAAATATAATTAACATTAAAGCTGAAGTTATACTTTGTTTGTTAACGCCAACAAGCTGTTAGTTTTGGAAAATTGGTCTTTTGTGTGTATTATTAATAGAATCTTAAATTTGGTTAGAAACATATTATTATATTTAAAAGGATCTAAAGTATTAATTCGCCGTGTGGTCCCGGCATAGAATAAGCCACTACTTCCTTTCCGGTGTCGCAAGAGGCAAATAAAGGAACTTATTGGAAGACGTATGTGCAGCAGCGTCCCTCTTAAAATATCAACATTCGATCTGGGGTGAACGCAATCTTGTTCACTTTAACCCTAAGAAGACACAAGTCTGCGCGTTCACCGCAAAAAAGACACCGTTTGTCGTATCTGCTCACTTTCAGGGTGCTTCCCTCGATAATAAGTCGAGTCTGGGGATTCTTGGCGTCGATATATCTAGCGATATCCAGTTTTGCGGTCATCTGGAGAAAAAAGCTAAGATAGCTTCCAAAAAGTTGGGGGTGCTCAATAGGGTGAGACGGTGTTTCACGCCAGAAAACCGCCTGAAACTGTATAAAGCTCAAGTGAAGCCGCACATGGAATACTGTTCTCACCTGTGGGCAGGAGCGCCACAGTACCAACTCCTTCCGTTAGACCGCATTCAAAGTCGGGCAGCTCGAATTGTTGACGATCGGCGTCTTACAGTCCGGCTCGACCCACTGAAACTACGTAGAGATGTTGCATCTTTGTGCATCTTCTACCGAATTTATCATGGGCAGTGCTCTGAAAAATTGTTCGGATTGATACCTGCTGCAGATTTTCACCATCGTACAACCCGCCATAAACTAAAATTTCATCCCAACCATCTGGACGAGTGGCGGTCCTCCAAGTTTTTCAAGGCACTTTCTTTCACGCACAACCACTCCCCTATGTTGTAAAAAAAACTAGGGTGTTATGCCTCTGTATTTTGTAATTTAATTGTCATATCTCACGTTTCAAAGGGAAACACAACTGCTTCTTCCCTTTTATATTCATAATTTCCTTTGCTAACAAAAATATCGCACTAAAATCCAACTATTAACATAGATATGTATTTCTGTTATTGCAACGTAAGTGGCTCCTGTATGGAAGATAGATTGTGCGTCCTCGCGAGCCAGTAATGTACATCTTAACATTCTGTACTCAATCTTTCCAAATGTCATCATCAATTCAAATGTTTATTTCATAAGTTTTCGTGAAAAATATTTGCAAAACCCAACATCGCAAACAAACCGACGCCAGAAAAACTTAGTGATTGTATCTAGTTTAAATTATGCGTAGGACAATAAAAAATGGAACTCAATTTAAAAAAAATAAAAGATATAATAATAAAAAAAAATTTTTTTTTACAACACAGGGGGCAAACGAGCATGCGGCTCACCTGATGGTAAGTGATTACCGCCGCCCATGGTCACCCACAACACCTACGGCATTGCAGGTGTGCTGCCGACCTTTTAAAAGGAATATGCTCTTTTCTTGAAGGTTATGTTGTCGTATCGGTTCGGAAATATTGCTGCTGGAAGTTGATTCCAAAGAGTGGTTGTGCGTGGGAGAAAGTGCCTTGAAAAACGCACGGTGGAAGACTGCCACTCGTCCAGAGACAAATACTGCAAAGTTTGAAGACAAAGGTCTTTAGACAGTGCATGTTGCCAGTAATGACCTATGAAACCGAAACATGGTTCTACACGGCTGTCCGTAAGCAAAAACTTCATGCGTAATAAAATCCAATACAAGGATATCCGCAAAAGAACTAAAGCCATCGACATAGTCCGAAGGATCAGCAAGCTGAAGTGGCAATGGGCTAATAATTTAGCTCGAAGAACCAACAACCAATGGAGAAGAAAGATTCTTGAGTGGCGACAGTAGATGGAGTGATTACCTCAAATGCATTGCAGGGAGTCAGTGGATGCAAGTGGCTCAGAACAGTTCCTTATGGCAATCTATGGGGGAAGGCTATGTTTAGGAATGATCAGATAGTGGCTAACACATCGTAGTTGTTATCGTAATCTTTACTGCAAGCTGATCTATCCTCTATATTTATATATGATTTCTTTCTATCATTCTTTTTATACACTAATTAAATGTAGATTTAGTGCCTCTTTTATACAACGACGATGGAAATTAACGAAACAATGTCCTCCAGAAGTCAAGTAAACATTTTAACAATTTATTTTAATTTTAGCGTTATCTTTGTATCTTATGCAGTTTCGAATAGATTCTTTGCATTATAATGCAAAATATATGCATACATAGTTACATTCACATGGATAAACAGACAGATATTATTATCTGTCTGTTTATCCATGTGATAAACAGACAGAGTGCAAATAGGTAAAGTCTCTTTTATTTTCGGTAAAATAAATCCAAAATGGCGGGACATATATCATAATATAAAATGATAGACATCGATATCGACCCAAACGTGGCACACAGAATTACTGTACATGACATGGAGATTTCTTTGCGGTACTTAAACGACCCGTTAAGGGTTGTATTCATAGATTTTGTTAAAAAAAAAGTAAAAAAAAATATGCTTATGACTAAATAGATTTGATATTTTTTTTTAATATTTGTATTATTGAAAGAAAATTGGGAACAGTTTTTTTTTTATTTTAACACGACGGTGGCATGCAAGCTTACAGCCCATCTGATGGTAAACTGTAGTAACTGCCTGTAACACCAAAGAAACCATAATATACCCTATTTCCTTTCTGTGTTTTGTAATTGTGTTGTGGAAAGTCGGGTAAACCATAACATTTGTATACACTCTCAATCAAAACTGTTAATAGGAACGACAAATTATTTATTCCATTTTTCTTTACATTTTAATTTTTAAACTTACATCACTTGCTCGTTATCCATTACTGTAATATAACCAGTAAAAAAAAAAAAAAAAACATAATGATGTCAAAGTTAAAAAAAAAAGTCATATCTCTACTGTATTTATTAAAAAAAAGCAATGATATCCATGTAAAGGAATCCATTTATAACATAGGTTAAGTCAATTTGTAACTAACAAAATGGGCCTTATGTAGTCTAATTAAATAAATATTATTATTATTATTATTATAACAGTTCTCATAACGTTTGTTCGTGCGACCAACCCTAAGTCGGGGCACCGCTAATGAAAAACGACTGGGACGGAAGTATCCCATTAAATAACGAAAATATCCCATTGATAGGCCTGACATAACGCGACGTGCAGGGTTAATGGGGCGACAGTGTTTATACTCACACATATAATTTCATATAACTATATACATAAAATACAACTGTGTTGCGTGACATAAGTAATATTTATTTATTTATTCATTAGTACATATATGTGTACATGGTGGACTTAATGCTAAAAGCATTCTCTCACAGTCAACCATAGGGAAGTGTCAGAATACTCGAATGCGATACTAGTAATTATTGATATACGTACATACTAAAATTACATATATAAACGAATAAATATATATGAATAACAAATATACTTACACATATATGACATATACTATATTATACACGAAAATGAAAATAATATAAAATACTTACTGCTCGAATAAAATAAAAAAGTGAGCGTGAACGTTTTTTTGAAAGACGGTTTAGTCGGTAGTCTCTCAATGGTATCAGGAAGCGCGTTCCAGAGTCGTGAAGAATGTAAGAGAAGAGAATTTAAAGAGAAACTTGTGAGAGGGGATAGATAGTGGGAGAGTACTATTGGAACGAAGGTAACGATGGTGAGTAATATCCACTTGTTTAAGAATTTTTGCTATCAAAAATATATTATTCTCTGTCAGATATTTAAAATATAACAATACGGGATAAGTTGCCGATTTGCTGGTGCCCCTTCATATTTTGAGGGAGTTTTAGTTTGGCTTAATAATATTTTGAATGCCTAACTGCACAT